AAAAAACAGCATTAAAATAGTAGAAAATGTATATGAGATTACTAGTTTGCTTCTAAGACTATCGGGTCATTGTATTTTCTTAGTTCTCTGCAATTTAGGGCTCTGTTATAAGTAATATTCTCTTTGTGTAGTGTGGCCTTTTAAAAATGTTCTTTATTGTTAGGACTGAATTTTGTAGCATAATAAACTGTTAATGAAATTTTAGGTTAAGGTTAATCAGCTAGATGTCCATCTCATTGCAGCCATAATGGGCGAAAGCGATCAGAAGATATTATTTCCTTTATAAAAAGTGAAGTACATCTTGCAATTCCTAATGTGGTAAGTATTATTAAATACACTGATATTTTGGTAAGTTACTTAAGAAGTATAGTACTAGAACTGAGCTTTCATTTAGGGTGACATTCTGGTCCTATGTATTTTTTCACTTTCCCTCACTATTTAACAAATTGGAAATGTCATTTATATCTGTTATGAAAAAGTCACTTCTGGGATGGGCACAATGGCTCACATCTGTAATCCCAGCACTTTGGGAGGCCAAGGTGGGCAGATCCCCTAAGGTCAGGAGTTCGAGACCGTCCTGGCTAACATGATGAAACCCCGTCTCTACTAAAAGTACAAAAATTAGCCAGGCGTGGCAGTAGGTGCCTGTAATCCCAGCTACTCGGGAGGCTGAGGCAGGAAAATTGCTTGAACCCAGGAGGTGGAGGTTGCAGTGAGCTGAGATCATGCCGCTGCACTCCAGCCTGGGTGACAGAGCAAGACTCTGTAAAAAAAAAAAAAAAAGTTACTTCTGTATTAGCTCATGGTGTATTGAAGGTCTTGTGAAAGAGTTGAGTTAGCCATCTGTTCTGCCATCAATTAGCAAGCACCCTACCAATTGCCTTGCTTTTCCTTACTTCAGACATTAAATTATCTAAATAAAATCATCACAGTTGTCCAGATCCCTACCCCAAACACATGTCTGTGAGGCAACCCACTAAGGTAAGGATGGCAGAAGAGAAAGATAAAAAGAGCCTGTGCCCTGAGCATCTGAATCATCCGTATCTTCCCGTGGCACTTATCTCTACAACTACCCCAGCTGCTGATGGGCATCTGGAACTCCAAGCCACATGGGATGGCTGAGCTGCCTTCTGCGATGGGTCAAAGGATAAGGCCAGGCAGAAACGTGACTCACCTAAAACCACCTTTACATGGTCTGACCTCCTGAAGGATAGCGTCTTAGCTTATTTGGCACATTTCAAAGAACTGAGGTCAGACTCTTGGTGGTGTAGCTTCTTCAGTTACTTTGTTTCATGGATTTCTAACACATAGTCTGTAATTTCCCACTGCATTCTGCCACCCCCATGGGGAAAAGGATGACAAGTACTAGTTTGGCCTTTTAAACAAAATCGAAATGTCATTTCTGTTATTAAAAAGTTACTTCTGCATTAGCTCGTGGTATAATAAAGCTTGCAGGAATCGATAGCCGGAAAACTTCAGGATAGAGAAAATCTGCATCGCCCCCACACCATCTTCCTCTGTCATTCTCCCCATCAAATCAGCCTTCCACTGGGCCAGCCGAGGCTTGCCCCACTCAGTGGGGAGTGGAGGGGGTGAAAATCGAGGGATGGACTGTATGTGCTGGCAGTATTACACATTTGTTTCTTCTTTCCGCAGGTGATGATTCCTAGTTTGGATGACATTCAACAAGCCATTAACCGTATGATCCAGTTAACCCTGGAGGTCAGCAGAGGAGTGGCTCACTGGGGGCAACAGCAAATCCGTCCCATGAAGTCAGTCATTCCCAGCCCCACCACTACTGACCTGACCCATCAAAACACAGGAAAACTGCCGAAGAAGGAAGAAAGTAAGAATGTAAAATTAGTCAATGATCTTACTGATCCTTCTTGGATTTGATAGCATATAGATTTTTAAATTATTTTATATGTTTGATACATTTCGCGTTTAAAAAATAGTATGTTTCATCTTAAATGTAACATGCAGGCATTTTTTCCTGGCTTTGGGTGGTGGGTGAAAAGGATTTTTAAATCCCTTGTCTACTGTGATGATCTTAAGTTAAAAATTAAAATAAGTCTTAGCACTAATTTTACTTTCTGCATGATAGTAGGTTGGATAAACTTAACATAAACATAAATTCGTTGCTTAAGTAATTATGAATGTGATATGATAGTGACCCAAAATTTCATGAACCTTTTTTTTTTGACACTTCCTGCATAGAAAGAAACTGGTTTATTTTTTATTTTATTTTATTTTAGTTCCAGGGTACATGTGCAGGATGTGTAGGTTTGTTACATAGGTAAACATGTGCCATGGTGGTTTGTTGCACCTATCAGCACATCACCTAGGTGTTAAGCAAGCATGCATTAGCTATTTTTCCTGATGCTCTCCCTCCCATCACCCCCCATCACCCACCAACAGGCCCCAGTATGTGTTGTTCCCCTCCCTATGTCGGTGTGTTCACATTGTTCAGCTCCCACTTACAAATGAGGACATGTGGTGTTTTGTTTTCTGTTCCTGCATTAATTTGCCAAGGATAATGGCTTCCAGCTCCATCTATGTCCTTGCAAAGGACATGGTCTCATTCTTTTTTCATGGCTGCATAATATTCCATGGTGTATATGTACCACATTTTCTTTATGCAGTTTACCATTGATGGGCATTTGGGTTGGCTCCATGTCTTTGCTATTGTGAACAGTGCTGCAATGAACATAGGTGTGCATGTATTCTTATAATAGAATGATTTATATTCCTTTGAGTATATACCCAGTAATGGAATTGCTGGGTCAAATGGTGTTTCTGGTTCTAGGTCTTTGAGGAATTGCTACACAGTCTTCTACAATGGTCAAACTAATTTACATTTCCACCAACAGTGTAAAAGCATTCCTATTTCTCCTAGCTTCATCAACATCTGTTGTTTCTTGACTTTTTAATAATTGCCATTCTGTCTGGCGTGAGATGGTATCTCATTGTGTTTGATTTGCATTTCTCTAATGATCACTGATGTTGAGCTTTTTTTTATATGTTTGTTGGCCGCATAAGTGTCTTCTTTTGCCAAGTGTCTATTCATGTCCTTTGTCCATTTTCTGATGGGGTTGAAAAACTGATCTCTTCAACTGGTCTCTTTAACTTTCTAATGGGATTGAGAAACTGGTCTCAAAACTATGTAGCTTTCACTGTGGTTCAGGGAAAGGCAAACTGAAAACAACAAGATACTAGGTGAGGCCTAGTGTGGTAGCTCACGCCTGTAATCCCAACACTTTGGGAGGCCGAGGCAGGTGGGTCATCTGAGGTCGGGAGTTTGATATCATCCTGGCCAACATGGCAAAACCATGTCTCTACTAAAAATGCAAAAGAATTATCCAGGCATGGTGGTGGGCACCTGTAATCCTAGCTACCGGGGAGGCCGAGGCAGGAGACTCACTTGAACTGGGAGGCGGAAGTTGCAGTGAGCTGAGACTGCACCATTGCACTCCAGCCAGGGCGACAGAGGAAGACTCTGTCTCCAAAAAACCAAAACCAAAAACACCTCCAAGATACCAGGTAAGCTACATAACCAGGTGGCTCAGACCCCTATGACACCTTTCTATGTTGCACTAACATTGCTTTCTCAGCTTACATCTATGGTCTCATGGGGTGTTCCCTACAACCAGCTAATAAAGGATGAAAAATCTCAGGACTGGTCTATTCGAATTGGCTTAATATGTTGTTGTCAGCTGAAAATGGACTTTTATTGCACTACAGCCCACTCAGGAGTGGCCCTAAAGGGCAGTGAAAAGGGGAATTTCCCCCAGTGGGCATAGCTTCAAGCAGTATAACTTTTTTAAGGAGAGTGGTCTGAAGCGAAGATACACGTGGACTCTTGGGCAGACGAATGGCTGGACTGATCATTCAGAACCTAGAAAGAGCAACTTTGGAAAATCAGAGGCAAGAAGAGCTAGGGAAAAAGCATGTGGATGGATCTGTGAATTTATATAAAATACCTGGCAAGATAAATCTTAGTTCCTTCAGGGGCTGATCGTAATCCTGAAAGACACAATCCAATGCCATAATCTCAAATGTTGAAATCCCAAAAGATCAAAATCCCAAAAATATAATTCTGGAAAAAATAATAATTCTTTTAATAAACAATTCTTTTAAATATATCTATTTACATTTTTAAAGGGGGATTTGATTTTCAGAATTTTAGACCTGGATTTTATACTTTCAGGATTTAGATTTTAGGGATTTTGAGCTTTTGGGATTTCAATATTTGAGATTATGTTGTTTGGGATTATGTCTTCTGAGATTATGGATCAAACCCAGTTATTTCTTCAGAGAGGTAAAATAATTTTTCCAAAATCACAAACCTAACGAGAGGGCTGGGAATTAATCCATATAAGAAGATTAGTATCTATTTTTTTTTTACTTTTAGTCCAATGTTTGCCGTTATTCTTTATTCTCTCCTTAGTCCTTCTATATATTTTTCTATTACTGTAGCAGGCTAAATGTAAAACTAAAAATTGCTAGATGCAAAAATCTCCTTGGACTTACCAACAATCTTGCAAATGAGAATTCTATTCTCTGCAAAATTATCAACCAAGTACAATATAAATAGACATTTTCAGACATGCAATGGCTTTTAAAATGTACCCTCAACACACCCTTTTCTGCGAAGTTACTGAAGGTTGTAGTCTTCCAAAATGAGAAAGCAAAAGCAAAAAAAAAAAAAGATGTACGATATTGGAAACAGGAATAAAATGCAGCAGACAGGTGAAGGGAATTTCAAGGTGAATGTTGAAGGGTGATTGTGCGGTGACAGTTATGTTCTAAGCGTAGAGGGCACCCAGTGTGACTTGGGAATCAGATGAGTTTTGACTACTCTCACCAAATGCTGGATGCCGTTATATATACTGTCCTTTAACTTGAAGACAGAATGCCGGGGTAAACCTGGTCTATATTCGTGTCTGGACTTTCTTGTTCTCACCATGTGCTGATGAAGTTGCTGCTCTACACTCATTGCTCTGGGTCAGCTGAGGAAACTTATTTATTCCTCAGAAGCATTCTGCCTTGACCAACTACTGAGAACTGGAGGCAGGTAATTGTGATATAAGGAAATAGAGATCAGCTCACTATCCTGGCCATATTCTTGCTGGACATTTATTACTCGGCTCACAAACACAGTGCTGCCAGATGCCCTGATTGTCATGACACATGTATTTTCTAGGACTCATTTGTATCCTGCCCCATAGCTTCCCCCACAAAGGGCTTTTGTAAACTTATAGAAAAGATGAAGCCAGACTAGTCCCAGAGACTCTTTTCTTGGAGGAGCCTTCATCTCACATGAACAATTAATGTTCTTTCCTTTACAGCTAGTTTTGTGCCTACTGCTCAGTTTTTAAAAATTGTTTAGGGATAAGCATGTTGATTTATTGTAAAGTTTATCTTCAAAGAAAATTCAGGATAATGGTTGCCTCTGGGAGTAAGGGAAGGGAATGGGATTAGAGAGGTGCCTAGAGAGGACTAGTCTGTTGGTAACATTCTGTTCTTAATTTGGTGGTGAGTACATTGGAATTCATTTTTTCTTCTTCTTTAATATACATTTTATTTCTTGTGTTTTATATATGTTTCTGTAAGTATATTTCATTTACCCACACAGACATAAATATAGCTTCTTAGCAAACCAGGAATAAAATGGATTTTCCAATAATGTCATCTGTAAAAATATTTAGAAGTATTCCATTCCTAATAAAATGAAGAATAAAGAAGGAAGCCCACTATTATCATTTTTATATGATAGTTTACTAGAGATCTTCATTATGAAATAAGACAAGAAAAAACGAGAAGAGTTGGAGAGGAAGACTGAGATTGTCCTTTTTTAAAGATTATACATAGAAAATCCAGGAAATCTAGAAATAATTGTTACAACCAATAAGTTCAGAAATATGTTTATGTATAAAAGATCAACATACAAAACCCCCAGTTTTTACATTTCTACATTTACCAGTAATACAGTTAATATATAGTAGAAGCATATATTTTTTTGTTAGCCGCAAACCATAAGGTCTTTAACAAATAAATATAAAAAAAATTTGCACAGCATTTTTGGAGAAGATATTACTGAATGAGATAATGGGGAAGACAAGAATAAGTCCACATCATGAAGAAGTCTATTCTTTGATTAATCTATAAATTCAATACAATTCCAAAGAAATCACAATAAATTTTTTTCTGTGGTCAACTTGATTTATAAATTTGATTGTAAAATTATATGGAAGTGAAAAGAGTTAAAAATAGCCAAGAAAAACTGGTGGTGAAGAAAAGCAAGGTAGGGGTTCCTGCCCTGCCAAATACCTAGGAGTATTACAAAGCCAGGCTAAGAAGGACAGCCTTTTAATGATCCAAAGATAGATAACATACAGCAGAACAAGAGAAAGAGTGCAGAAATACTAGTACATATGAAAATATATGATATAAGTGGATTTACGAATCAGTGGAGAAAGAATGTACTGTTTAATAAATGTGGCTAAGGATTTGCTTCCATATGGAAAAACTTTCAGTAGTATCTTTTTTTTTTTTTTTTTTTTTGAGACGGCGTCTTGCTCTGTCATCCAGGCTGGAGTGCAGTGGCCCGATCTCGGCTCACTGCAAGCTCCGCCTCCCGGGTTCACGCCATTCTCCTGCCTCAGCCTCCCGAGTAGCTGGGACTACAGGCACCCGCCACCTCGCTTGGCTAGTTTTTTGTATTTTTTAGTAGATTAGCCAGGATGGTCTCGATCTCCTGACCTTGTGATCCGCCTGTCTCGGCCTCCCAAAGTGCTGGGATTACAGGCTTGAGCCACTGCACCCGGCCTCAGTAGTATCTTAAATTAGATACACGTCATACCCACGATTCTATATCCTGTAACACTATTCCATCTATTTTACAATACTTTTAGAATAAAACAGCGCAATATATTTAAAACACCAGGGTGGGGAAGGACATATGAAGCTCAAACCATAGAAGAAAAGATGTTTAAATTAGACTTCTTTATATTTAAAAACATCTTTAAAGGAGCTTTAAATTTAAATGACCATGCTGAAGTCCTTTATAAAATGTTAGCCAACTGAACCGAACAGTATAGGAAAAGGGTTGTATAGTGTGACCAAATGAGGTTTATTCCACAAAAGCAAGGTTGGTTTAACATCCTAAAATATACCATATGAATAGAATAAAGGGCAAAAACTCATGATCATCTCAATAGACATAGAAAAAATATTTGACAGAATCCAACACCCTTTCATGATAAACATGCTCAACAATCTGGGAATAGAATTAAACTTCTTCAACCTTATAAAAGGCATCATATCTAACACTGAAAGCCTGAATTGTTTCCCCCTAAGATTAGGAACAAGTCAAGAATACTAGCTCTCACCACCTCTACTCAACATTATAGTGTAGGTTCTATCAAGTGGATTAAGATAAGTGAACTAAATTGAAGATACACAGATTGGAAGGGAAAAGGTTAAACTGTCTTTATTAGCAGATGACATGATCTTGTATGTAAAAATAACCTAAGGAATCAACGCTCATACACACACAAAAAAAACTATTAGAAATAATAAATGAATGCAGTAAGACAGTAAGACTGCAGGATACAAGATCAATATACAGATATCAACTGTATTTCTAAATATTAGCAATGAACCATCTGAAAATGAAATAAAACAATTGAATGCACAAAAGGAAGGAAGAATAAAATACATTTAACAGAAATATAAGGTCTGTACACTGAAACTGCAAAACACTGCTGAAAGTTATACCATGAAGAAATACATCATGTTCATGGGTTGGAAGATCCAATATTATTAATCTGGCAGTTCTCCCCAAATTGATCTATGGATTTTATACAATCTCTATCAAAATCCCAGAAGGCTTTTTTTTGTTGCAGAAGTTGATAAGTTAATCCTAAAATTTGAACAGAGAATAAGGGAATTCAAAGGACCTATAATGGCCAAAAAATTTTGAAAAAGAACAAAGCTGGAGGACTTACCACTACTTGGTTTTATTTATTTAGAGATGGGGTCCCACTCTGTTGCCCAGGCTAGAGTGATGTGGTGCAGCCTCTGCTCACTGCAGCCTCTGCCTTCTTGGCTGAAGCAATCGTCCCCTTTCAGCCCCCGAGTAGATGGGACTACTGGCATGTGCCACCATGCTCAGCTAATTTTTGTATTATTGTAGAGATATGGTTTTGCCATGTTGCCCAGGCTGGTCATGAACTCCTGCACTCAAATGATCTCCCCGCCTCGGCTTCCCAAAGTGCTGGGATTCCAGGCATGAGCCACGGTCCCCAGCCAGCTGGAGTCAAAATTTATCTTCAAAAGATGTATGTTCAAGTTAGCCCTCATTATTAGAAGTGATGCTTAGTCCACATTTCTCCTGTCAGCCTGGCCACAATTCTTTTATTTTGGCTTCTTTTATCTCTATTCGAATTGCATATAATGACAAAAACTTTGAAATTCTCCACCGAGAGTCTTTCGGATCTAATTTCTTCAACCAGTTTATTTTAGGGTCCTTTTTAGAGTAGGTGGATCTGCCTAGTTTTCAATTTGACACCCTAGAAAAATAAAAGCATTGGTGACTGTTGAAGACTGTATCAAACTGAACAGTCTAAGAAAACTACACAAATACTGTATCAGTAGAAATACCAGGTTTAACAAGCAGGAAGCCAAGATGCCAGATGCTGAGTATCTGCGGTGCTGACGTTTAAACACCCCAGCAGAGGTTGTCTCATTTAATTCTCACGATTACATCCACGAAGACTAAATACTTGGCCCAAGGTCATTTGGTTAATAAACTTAATGTCTGTCCTTGAACCACTGTGCTGTTCCTCAGGGTGGAAATTTCAACGCTTTTAACCTTTTCTTAAAGGACGTTAACATTTTGGGGGGTTTTAACCAGTGTCTTTCATTTATCTGCTCTGAATAACAGTTCTTCTACATTAAAGAAATCTAGATCCCAAAATCTGACACCATAGTTTAATGAGCATCCATGAAGATAGCAAGAGAATAGCCCTTAATTACTCGAAATAGCTCTTAGTTTCTTGGAGGGAGAGTCTTTAAGAAAATAGAGTTTGAAAAAGAATCAGAAATATTAAAACTGATAATATTTAAAGTTGAATATAGAAGTTATTTATAGTGTAAAAACATCTGTTTTCAGGATCTTTTGAAGAAGTTATTCCTGCAAGAAAGCTGAAGAATTTTTACACGGGGGTAGCGGAGCACAAGGATATTTCTAAGTTGGTCCTGCTCCTTTCTTCCTCTGTAAACTCCCTAAGAAAGGCGGCTCATGAGGCCCTGCAGGACTTTCAGAAGTACAAGACTCTCTGGACCGACAACCGCGATGTGAAAGTGAAGGTGTCTTTCCACTGCTTGTGATGTCGTTTGGGTTTTGTTTGTCTCTGACTCTTGAGGGTGGACCAGGAAAATATCAGGGAAAATGACAGGAACTCATGAGCAGAGGCCAAGAATCTATAAATACCAAGCACCTGTCACCTTCTAGCTCACGTAATTCTCACATGGACACACTGAGGCAGTTGGTATTACTGAGGCTCAGACAAATTTTGTTCAATTTCCTTAAACAATTGAGTACCAATTATGTGCCACCACTGACTAGAGGCCAGGTATTCAAGGGTGCATCCCACTTCTGTAGACCCAGCTGTTTTTCAGTAAGAGAGTCAAGGGAACTTTAGAACTCTGAATAACCATGCCCGGCAGATGGTGAAATTCCTTGCCTCCCGGTGGACACCCCATTTCTTACCCAGCCACTGGCCCCATTGCACACACAAGTGTAAAAGTGTATGAGCAAATGCAATTTTCTAATGTAAGTTTGGTAAGATTTATATTGTTAAAAAATTAAAGAAAATATTGACTATTTCTTACCACAGGGATTTTTGGCTAACAACCCCTCTCTGACTGAAATCAGATCAGAAATTCTACGCTATGCTACTTTTGAACAGGAGATTGATGAGTTGAAGCCTATTATTGTTGTAGGAGCACTTGAATTACATACAGGTATTTTAAAAATATTTATTATGGAAAGTATCTGTACTTTCACATGAAGCATTACTTTATTTAGCAAGCAATTATTAAGCTATCTTGGTACAATAGTATTATATGAAGATATAATAATAATAATATACCAAGGTATAATAATAGTATTATACCAAGATATAATATTATTATACCATTAAAAGTAATGGCAAAACTGCAATTACTTTTGCACCAACCTAATATAAATGTTAAATAGTTTTGGGCCATTGATATTCTTTATACACACATCCATAGACACACTATACAGGCCGATTCCTCCACTGGCAGTCAAACAGCTAAAACTATAGGTGAAATTCTCTTTTGGGTTACTGTGAGGAGGGGCTTGTATACATGAGATGGGAGTCAAACAGTTTGAAGTCTGCCAAGAAGTTGATCCATTTGGGATTAGAGTATCAAAGTATGATGAGACAATCATTAACGTTTGAAATATGAAGATGACTTATTGCTTGCTGTAGTGACAGAGAGCTGTACTGGTCAGGCACAGTGTACCTGGCAGGGCAGACTGCTCGTCTCATGCAGGGTGTCTGGGCAGCATGCAGTTGAAGGACTGTGGACGTAGATAGGTTGACATCATCTGTATAAGGATGTTTACTCAGGTGAGACTGTTGTAGGCTGGTTGGCACTCAGAGGTGGGTTTATTGGAGTAAGTCTTTCTTGACTAGTTGACATTCAGAAGAAAGGGCCTGACATTGCTTGGGTTGCACACATATGAGAACTGATGTTGACTTGCTCTGTGGTTTGGGTTTAAAGCTGGTTGTGGTGGCTCATTGTTACCGTGGTTACATAACAATCAGTCTTATCCTAAGTTTGTGGGAAGATTTTGTTCTCAGACAGTATTTGAATGAGGTATTTTTCATCCATTATCTACCTTAAGTAGATTTTCAGGTCTGTTATCAAGAAATTAATGTAACTGTGGCTCTTGAATTTGACCACTTGGGTAACTTGACCTCTTTAACCTCCATTTCCTCTGCTGATGAAAATGACAGTATTCACCTCACGAAATGCTTTATATAAGATGCTTAGCATAGTACCCGGCATATGATTGATGTTGAATAAATATTAAATATTGTTATTATATCTGCCAAGGAAGTACTTGTGCTTCTCTGAGGAAGAAAAGTACCAAAGGATTACAAGTACTTGAGGGGGATTATTTATCTGGAAATCAGAAACTATGCATCAGTGGCATAATTACAAGAACTTCTGTAGCGTTTTGGAAACTGTACACTATTATTTTTTAAAAGTTCACATTTGTCTCCTCATAATGGTTAGCACTATGCTCCACAGTACAAAAAGCAACCGTAGTATACTGATAGAATGGGCTGGGGGGCTTGTTTTTGGAGAGTGGAATCTAAAAATGGGAGAGGTGATGGTAGTTATAAAGAAAGGGGAGGGTGGGCTGAATCCCCGAGGCCTGAGGAAAAAGGTCCCCCCAGGGGACCTCATGAGATATGATCTCACAGCCTCAATCACCAGGCTGGCTGCATGGTTGTTCTCAGGCCACGCTTTCTCCTCAGCACCAGAGGCCTCTAAGTTTAATGGTTGGAAGGTAAGAGCAGAGCAACTGTGTTTCAAGCTTGGCAGAATTGGGGGGGTGTAGGAGTACTGAGAGGTAAAAGGGGAAGGATTGATAAGGCAGAGTTGACTAGTTAGAGCTGTTTTGTTTTCAAGAACAGAAACACATTTGAGCTATGTTAAGGGAGAAAAGGTTTATCCCAGAATCCAAAGTGCAACTGAGCCTTCAGAATGGACCAGAAGCAGGGACAGTATAGGAAGCTGAGGAAGTTCTTTCTCTCTGCCTCTCGTTTCTTCTTCCCTCTGTGCATGAATTTTTTCTGCTTCCCAGACTACATGGCGCCTTCTCAAGCCTCATTTCAAATGCTCTAGAAAGGACTGATTGGTCTATAATGTAGGTCATGTTGACCTGGGGCAACTGGCTAGGTCCAGGGTCCAGGGTCAGGGTAGACAGATACTCTGACCATGTGGATGATGTGGGGAGTAGAAAAGCAAGGAACCTGTGAAGTCACGGCTTGATAGACAAAACAATAAATTTCGCTCCACTTCATGGGATCCCTCAAGAAAAATGTGGAAATGAATGAGGGCCACTAATGGGATGGTCAGAAGAAGTGCAAAAGTCACACAGAACAGTGATAGAACTAATTTCAGAAATGCTCCCCCATGGGCTGTGGTGTCAAAACTCATGCACATCTCCATAGGGATACATGCTTTGTGGGGAGAGGAATTAAGTCTCCAAAATCTAGTAACCTTATAGCACATATAATTCCTACTAACCACATTTCAAGTGTTCAAAAGCCACATGTGGTTAGTGACTACTGAATTGGACAGAGGAATTATAGATGCCCTTATAGTTTCAGAATGCCAGTTATATTCTAATTTAATCTCTTCTTGTCTTCATCAGAGCCAATGAAATTGGCCTTATCCATCGAGGCCAAGGCATGGAAGATGTTACTCTGTCGATACCTGAATGAAGAATACAAAAAGAAAATGTCAGACATGATAGCATTTATTAATGAATACTTGAAAAAGTTATCTAGACCTATTCGTGATTTAGATGATGTCAGATTTGCAATGGAAGCCTTGTCTTGCATACGTGATAATGAAATTCAAATGGACATGACTTTGGGACCAATTGAAGTAAGAAATGGATTGCATTTTTTTTTCTTGGAATGCTTTTTTTTTTTTGTTTTTTGTTTTAAAGAAACAGAGACACACTAAGAAAGTGGTTCTTTAACATATTCATCTATTATGTAACACAGTCTGCCTATTTCTAGTCTCTGATGTTGATGTCTTTGGGAGAATTTTGGCAATTATCAACAGTGAACAGTATACAAAAGACACTGTTGTAGTACAAAGGAATATTTATATATTAATAATGCTATACTGGGGTAGGTAGTATTTAATTTTTGATACTGGCACCAACATTTTATGGAAAGAAATAATTGCCCCTTGTCATGTCAGTCCCAACATGTTAGGCAAGTTCTCCCAATATCTTTGGCTTGCCTTAGAAACCAATTAATAGGTCTCAATCATGACCGGTGGTGTACCACAGGCAGTATGGCGGAAACAGTGCCCTCAGGCTCCATAGTAAACTGCTGCAACTTAGATCAATGAAAGATGTTTTTAGGAAACAGTATGAGTTTCCTATTGCTGCTATAACAAATCACCACAAACTTAATGGCTTAAAACAACATAGATTGTTTATTTTGCAGTTCTAGACATCAGAAGTACAAAAATGGGTCTAATGGGGCTAACATCAAGATGTCAGCAGGGCCATGTTGCTCCTGGAGGCTCTAGGGGAGAATCCATTCCTTCCTTTTTCCAGCTTTTAGGGGCTGCCCACGTGCCTTGGCTCATGGTTCCCTTCCAGTGATGCCATCACTTCTAGCCCCATTTCTGTCATTGTGTCTTCTCTCACACCTACTTTCCTGCCACACTCTTTCTCTTATGTGGACTTTTGTGATTACATCGGACCTGCCTAGTTAATCCAGGGTGATCTCCCCATAGCAAGCTCCTTAACATAATCATATCTGCAAAGTCCCTTTTGCCATGTAAGGTAGTATGTTCACAGACTTTGGGGATCAGGACTTGGACAGCCTTGGTGAGTTTGTCTATTACTCATTTTTAGAATGTTTTAGAACTAATATTATTTAGAATTTCTGATACATGGTGATAAAAATCAGGCTTTTGATTCTTTTTATTATTGTTTTGTTGTCTATAAACAATGCACTGCCTCATTGCCTGCAATATCTGGGGAACTGACACCACCACCACCTCCTTATGGTACCCAATATTTATGACTGTTTTATGCTTTCTTCAACCCATTGAGAGTTTATACTCTTTGGTAGCTAATAAACTTTATACTTTTACTGCTTTAAAAAAATGTTGGTATTTGGGGATTTTGGATGCTGACCAGCCAGACTTCAAGATATAATAAATTATTATATCAATTTTTCCCTGACTGCGGAAGCTTAATTCTTTACCATACTGTTTTTTTTTGTTTTTTTGTTTTTTTTTGATGAAGACAATTACTGGGCATCCCTTGGACCCTGGGTCATTCAAGTTTCTTTTCTTTGGAGTATCTCCTACATCATTTCATTCTGTTCCTTGTATAGTCAACCCCTATTTTAATACAGTCTGTATCTTCTGTGGTGTTGACACAGGGTCAAGAAGGAAAAAGAGAGACATATACATCTCCATCAGAATCACCTAGGTGCTTATTAAATGCAGATTTCAGAGCCCATGATCCAGAGTTAGTATCTGGTAGTCAGAATCGAAAGGTGCTTTTTATACACTTTTAATTTTGGAAACCACTTTTCTAGAACATGCCGTGTTCTTCTAAGACATAGGAATGTGTTTCTAGAAGGCATCTAAATGATTTGGCAATGGCTTTCCCTTGTGATATTTCTAAACTCGACCTTCATCCTGTAGGAAGCCTATGCTATTTTAAACAGATTTGAAGTTGAAGTAACCAAAGAAGAATCAGAAGCAGTTGATACCTTAAGATATTCTTTCAACAAATTGCAGAGCAAAGCTGTAAGTATGAATTTAATTACATTATTTTTTTCTTAAGTCACTATCTCCAGGAAAAAAAAAAGTATTTTATACCTTTTTAAAGCTTAATATACAGTCGTGTGCCACATAACAATGTTTCAGTCAACAACAGACTGCATATGCAACGGTGATCTCGTAAGATTATAATACCATATTTTTACTGATCCTTTTATATGTTTAGATATACAAATGCTTACCAGTGTCTAGAATTGCCTTCAGCATTCAGTATAGTAACATGCTGTAGAGGTCTGTAGCCTTGGAGCAGTAGGCCGTACCATATAGCCTAGGTGTGCAGTAAGCTATTCCATCTAAGTTTGTGTAAGTACACTCAATGACGTTCACACAACGACAAAATCACCTAATGACTCATTTCTCAGCCTATTACCATCATCAAGCAATGTGAGACTGTAAATTATTTTAATGACTTTATTGAGATAGAATACACATACCATAAAGTTTGCCATTTTAAAGCATACAATTCAGTGTTTTTTAGTATATTCACATCATTGCTTAACCACCATCATTATCTAATTTTAAAACATCACCCCCCAAAAGAAACCCCATGCCCATTGGCAATCACTCCTGATTCTCTCTCTTGCCTCAGCCCTGGCAACCACTAATCTACTTTCTGTTTCTGTGGGTTTTCCTTTTCTGGACATTTAATGTAGACTAAATCATACAATGTGTGGTCTTTTGTAACTTGATTCTTTCACCCAACGTAATTTTTCAAAGTTCATCCATATTGTTCATGTGCGAGGACTTCATTTTCCTAATGCCGAATGAGAGAGAGCATGTTTTCATGTGGCCATTTTATTGGTCATTTGTATATCTTATTTGAAGAAACGT